GAAACTCTGGCTCAGAAACTCTGGCTCAGAAACTCTGGCATTTAAAGCACACAAGTCTTCAAGCTGTCAAGTTACAAGACCCTTGCACCCCTAACTCTTTAGGGAAAAAAAATCCAGGGGTGTTCAAACTTGACAGCTTTAAGACTTTAAGGTTTAGATAAGACTCTTAGAAGCGGGCAGGGCGATTGGTGAGCCAGCCAATCAGTGAGCAGCGGGCGGGACAAGCGTGGTGCAGATGGGTGGAGCGAGGGAGCTGGAACCAATTCTAAATGGCACAGTAGATTTGTGGAATCTCTTCTACCCACCCCTGCCTCACAGTTTGGGAAAGCCTGCCTTAAACTATAAGAATTACAGTTCATATAGTCTATCTAAACTGCTCAGTGGAAGCCATAACAGTGAAGTTAAATTACATATTTTAGGTACATAACATGAAGGCAGAAGTTATTGTATAAGACTGCTGCTTGTGAAAAAAATAAGGCAATTGAAAAATAAGACATGATAGCTAGATTTTATCACTGATGGCACACAGATAAGCATATTAGATTTAAAGAAACTGTTAAGGACAGACAACTCAAGAAAATGATGTCCATTGGATCACAAAGTCAGAGGCAATTGAATAACTGCAGAACAGCTGTACACACTATTACCATTTATTCAACATTCAGTCAATTTTCTAGGCTGAACAGTTTATGAAACACTTAATGTAAAGTTAAATCTTGTTTTTAGAAAATGTACGGTAGCTTATATTGAACAATTTAAGCTACTGATCAAGTAGCTTAAGACATCCATCTTTAAAGTTAAGAAGGTTTTAAAGTAAAGCTTTTGCTGTATTACAAAATGATAAATGTCCTCAGAAATATGAGTCATGTCTTCCAATTGTAAAATTGCTTAATATGCTTTTAAAAAGAAACGCACAAGCAGTTTGCTTCTGCTTCCTGAAATTCTAACTAAGTTATATGGTTGTAAATATTAGCAAAAGCAATAGCACTTAGACTTATATACCACTTCACACTGCTTTTACAGCTTTCTCTAAGCGGTTTATAGAGTCAGCATATTGCCCCCCAAAATCTGGGTACTCATTGTAGCCACCTGGGAAGGATGGAAGACTGAGTCAACCTTAAGTCGGTGAGATTTGAACTGCTGAACGGCAGCGATTACTTCTTAATGCCACCTGAAAGGGGGAGGATGGTGTGTGTGTGCAGATTTCTATATGTTATGCATTTTTAAGCAAAGACATCTCCCTCACTTCTCAGTGCTATGTGGGATTAGAAACTACTTTGGATTTTACAAAGTTTTTGTGGAGAATGATTTTAAAAAACCCAAAGTTTTAAAATTGTGAATATGTGCATTCCCCAAATATAACGGCATTACCATTTAAACTTAGCTTGGTGGTTGCTAGGAGTCAAAAACAACATTTACATACTTATTCAATGAACTCCTGGTAATTTTATGGGTAAGTCTGTGTTGTTTTTTTCTTGAGAGCAGTGCGGAAATAGTTTATCACTGTCTTCCTCCAGGATGTACTTTTCTCTACTCCCTAGATTAGTTTGCAGCCCTGGTGACCATGAGGGGAGGACCAAGATGAAGATTAAATAACCGTTCCTGAATGAATGTTAGTCAATTTTATTTTACTCCCTTATCAGTTTCTTTTGTTTACTCTTCTGAATTTGAGAAAGTCTCATTGCTGAAACAAGGGACAAAGAACCTTCCTTGATAAAATAAGGACAAATGAAAAAAAGAAATACAAAGGATAAGTGCTGGTACTCCAACTTTGTACAAACCATTTGATCATTCAAAAGTGGGTGACTACTTGCCCACAAGTAGTGTAAATAAAACCAAGTGTGTAAATAAAACCAAGATCTACAGCCCTGTTATTCTCTCCAGCTCTTCCATCCCAATCTGATTAGGTTCCAACTGAAAGTCAGCCTGCTGCTGACATCTACAGTCAAATAAGGCATTTACATTTATTCTTCCAAAGTGCTCAAGCTTTTTGACGATAACAAAATAATAAAATGCAAAAGTAAAAAAAAATGCTCTTTTCCTGAATGTTTACAAGAGAAATGCTTCTGTCCAAATGTTCAGTATTTCGAGATTCTGTTGCTCTTATTTTTGAAGACTTGAATTGGCAGCCCTTGGCTGAGATGCCTATAAATAGAAGATTGCGCTCTGTAAAGGAGGACGTGCCACTATCCTATTTAGACTTTCTGTAAGATATAGACAGCATGGTCATCTGTGCATTGCAGCCCTTTGCTGACCTCTGCTGGTCTAGTTGTTTCTGCTCTTTTAGTGGGAGACAGTTTGGCATATACCAGTGATGGGCAACCTTTTTGGCGTGGTGTGTCAAAAATCGGCAAAAAATCGAGCATAACTCGCGTTGTGTGTCACTTCGACAAAAACATAATTTTGCGCAATTTATGGTTTTATGGTTGTATTATTTATAGGCTGCCCTTTTCCCTGAGGGGACTCAGGGCGGCTTACAATATA